CGCTCCCCGTGCTCCGCGGGCAGGGCTCGCCGCAGCCCGCGCTGGGACCTGCGAGGGGCGCCGCCGCGGGGACCCGACTTCCCGGAGCCGCGGACCCCAAGCGCGGTCCGCGATGAGAACCGCTGGGGAGGAGTGAGCTTCCCTTGCCGCGCTGTCGCCTGTGCAGCGCGTTAGGAAGTGGCATTTTTAGTGATCAGAAACGCCGTTGGGGGCCAGCTTGGACCAAGCCAGAAGAAACAGCTAGAGGCGCAGGATGCAAGTTCCCCGGTTGCTTTATCTGGCAGTGAAGTTCAGGGTGCTGCAGACTGGAAACAGGACGCCTCTGTAGGGCAAAATGCCCTTCACCCTTGGAAGGGATCCCAAGGTGGGAGCGCAGACCGGGAATTTTAATTTTAATATGCAGTGCACTTTTGGGTGGGACGTCTAGGGAAATGCTCTCAGTAACAGAAAGACGAAGATTTTTAATGACTATCCGGAATGCTCACCTATCCGGAGACTGTCCCGCCTTCCCTAAGCCATCCAGTTCCTCTTGTTCTGAATTAGTTGAGGGCCGGCAAGTATATGTGAAGCTAAACTAACAGGTACACAGGAAAAGCAGTCGTGTGCCCAAGTAAAAACAAAATTATCTGGTGAATAAATGCAAAAGTAAATGTTAGGCAACTGAGCTACAATTAAGAAAATGTGACAGATTCCAGCTGTCACAGCTAGGTCACCAATACATTCATTTTCCATGGTTAAAAATACTTACATCTAGACCAGCAATTCACAATTGTCTTATTAACCAGCAGTTTAAACTTCAGAAGTTGACTACATATCTCTAAATTGCTATAATAAATTCTTGATGTTGTGTCCTTTAATTTTTTAATATTTGCGTGATTGATTGTGACAGGGTCTTGCTACATAGCTCACGGCTGGCTTTGAAATAACTATGTAACCCAGGCTGGTCTGGAACTCCCAGTCATCCTCCTGCCTCAGCTTCCCAAAGGCTGGGAGTATAATAAACATGTGCCACCACACCCAGCTCCTTTAATATTAAATGTTAATGTAGGCGTGGGGACGAACACCTGTAATCCCAGCACTTGGGAGGCTGAGACAGGAGGATCGTCGACAGCTTGAGGCCAGCCTAAGACACATCGAGACCCTGACTCAAAAAAACAACAACAAACAAGTTAAAACAGGCTTTTTTTAGGAAAAAAAAGTAAATAGCATTAAAAGAGTATCAGCAAGTCAGTGCAACATACAAACAAATGCAAGTGTGAAATGCATCCGAGTTGTTAACATTTAGAGCCAAGGAATACAGTACTGTTGAATCAAGGTTTTCCTAAAATATCTTTTTAAAAAGGTTAGCTGGCTCCTGAAGAAAGAACAAGACCTGGGTGTGACTATCTACCCGGAGTGACAGTACACACATAGCAAGAGCTTGGCTCCTCGCTGGGAGGAACGAGAGAGGACTCAGTGGCATCTAGTAAATATTTACATCACACATATTTAAACTGAAGGTGAGGCCAGGTCGGAGCAGGAAGGAGTGGTCGTGAGTCACAGCGTGGCTTTCACTCTGGTGACATTAGCCAGTGAAGCAAGACAGGACAGTGGTGTAGGCGAAATCATCTGCAACGTTACAAAGGGCGTCACTGCCCGTGGAAAGCATATGATGTGCTGCAGCTCACTTTTGTGCATTAACAAATACAGGAAAGACAGGAGGGGAAATATTTCACTGTTGGTACAAAGAAAAGGTATCTGAAGATGTCCGCTCCAGGATGGGAAGAAAGCATGCAGGCCGTCAGTGGGGGAGGGTAACAGGAGGAACAAGGCCCAGGTGAGTGTGTGCGTCTGAGTGCTGGTTACTCGAGGGCCTGCATGAAGCGGAAAACTGGGCAAAATACAAAGCTGAGAGTGACCGCCAATTCACTGCTACAGGATAAAACCAGAAATGAGAGAATACGTCCCTAAAGTTAAGGAACTGACTTACTTCCTAGCCTCTACTTGCCCTCCACCCACCCCGTCTTATCCTAGGGAAAGAAACGAGACAGTATCAAATGCAAAGTGAAGCTATTAGCATCACAGAACTTCCCCTTCAGCCTGTAAATGGGATTTACTTCTAACACCTTCATTTATTCACTCGCATTGGGCAAGTACTGTGGGTGCTTAACTGTAAAGGGTGCTGCTCTAGGTGCTACAATAACTGTGAGTGAGGGGGACCATCCACTGCATGGCCCTGACCTGAAGGCAGTACGGTGTTGTGGCTTGAGCCTTTAATCCCAGAACTTGAGGATAGATAGATGATAGATAGATATTAAAGAGATTACAGCCCGTAAGATGGTAGTAAAACGGGGGAAAGAAAGCAAGGAAGAAAAACCTTGGAGAGAGAAGTCTATTGGATAGGTGACTTTTTTTTTTTTTTTTTTTTTTTTTTTTTTTTTTGAGACAGGGTCAGATTGGCTTCAAATTCCTAGGCTCAACTAATCCTCATGCTGCAGCCTCCTGAGCAGCTGAGGTTATTACACAGCTGCACCCTGATGCCTGGCTGGGAGGAAACAAAACCTGGAGGGGAGGGGGCACTCCCTAAGAGAAGAGCTCTGGGTTTGAGGAAGAGGAGCAAATGCCCCATGCCTGGCCCATGGTGCGGCCAGGCTGTGTGCTCCAGGACGGGGAAGGGGCGCAGGAGCCAGGCTCATCAGGGCTTTGACTGAAGTGAGGATTTCAGGCAGAAAGCTGCTCTGAGCATTCAGATGAGATCGTCCCAGCGGCGGTGCTGACGGGGCTGGAGGGAGCAGGGGTTCAGGCCGCACGTAGCCTGCTGTAACAACCCAGGCAACGAACAGTTCAGTGCCACGGAAGGGAGAATTGGAGCCTGCTGCAAAGGAGTCAGAGTAGGCTGCATTTCAGCAGGGTTTGCTAACACACTGAATACAGGAAGCAAAAAGTGAGGGGCCTTGAATTTATTTGGATCTTTTCCCAGACTAGCAGTGTACAGCAGGACCCACTCTTGAGATGCCAGCCATTGCCACCCAACTGCAGTTCCAGTCACACAGTCACAGGGAAAACAGCCAGCACCCAGCACCCTGTGCTGCTGCTTACTCTGACTGCCCACCCCCCGAAAAAAAAAACAAACTCTAAATACACAGAGGAATGTTTCTGGGCATGGCGCTGCATGCATGTAGTCAATCCTAGCTACTCAGGAGGGTGAGGCAGGAGGAGCTTTCGTTTACAGCCAGCCTGGACAACCTGGCAAGACCCTACCTCAAAGTAAGAAATAAAGGACTAAGGATGCAACTCGGTAATACCGTAGCCGAATCAAATTCAGTGGTTAGGTTCAGGGCTGACCATATGGGGAACTGTGATTCTGTTCTCATGTGCCTCGGTTTGCGACCAGCATCGTGGAAAGAATTAAGTTCTTGAGCTAAACTGCTGCTGTAGAGCATCCCCCCGAGTTCAGTCTCCAGTACCACCCAAAAAAAAGGAGTGTCATTTTCTTATTCGGGAAATGCACAGAATTAACACAATGCCGATCAAAATCCCGCAGGATTTGCGTGTGTGTGTGTGTGTGTGTGTGTGTGTGTGTGTGTGTGTGTGTAGACTGAGAAGTTGATTATAAAATACATGAAATGCAAAAGGAAAAACAAGAAAACAAGAGGAATGAACCTGGGCAACTTTACCAGCATATATCAAAGCATTTTGTTATTCTTAGGAGTTTTTGGTTTGGGTGCTAGGAATTAAACCCAGGGCCCTGTGCACCCTGAGCACATACTGCACCTCTGAGCTAC